AATCGCCGTTTCGTCAGGGTCGCAGACTGTGAACAAAGCCTTAAAACGGGTTGGCGCCGGGCCAAGATGCACAGCTTCGCTGCGGATGACGGGGCGTGTCAGTGCGATCAGGTTTGGTGCACCGCCAGCCCGCTACCTACTAGTTTTCAAAGTTGGTAACTGACAACAACTGGTGCAAGACAACCAGTATGAACGAGTTGATTCGGCTTTGTCGTTTGCCGGAAGAAAAATAAAGAAACGAGCTGGCGTTACGCCAAAACCATCCGCTCCCTGACTCGTCTTATCGTCCGCAAGGAAGAAGATTGTACGTTTACAGGAACGCCTCACCCGAGGCTCCGCCAAGCACTATATGCGCAAAGAAGTGCCTTCACTAGATCTACGTAATTTGAGGGCAACGGTGGAAGATTTTGCGTTGGTAAAGTTTCTGTGAGATGGGCCACGCATTTGTTTCCCATCAAGGAAACAGTGGCACTTTGAATGCCACTTCAGCTTTACAATGCACTACAGGGGCTTGCTGATTGATGTATCAGCCTCTTTGCTTTCCATACAAGTTTGATCAATGTCATTTAATTTACCCTGCTCAACTCCGTTCTCTTTACGTCACTAGTTTTTCCACAAGATCAGATTTGGTTAACAAATTCTCCCACCTGTTTCAGCATCGTCACTTGAAAAGACTACTCGCACTGCTACAGGATGGTGTGCTACAAAGAGGTGAGCGCTTTTCCATTTCCTGAGGTTGGAATGTGCATGAAAAGTGATTTAGTAATAAGAGAAAAAACAGCCTAGTGATTAATTAGGCAAAAAAAATTAGTTTAGGTTAAGATATTTATGTATGCAGCGATTCCCTGGCAAGTGGAATCGCGGCATACATAAATACGTCTACGTGTAGACGATCATTAGATCCACAGCCTACAGAGTGTATCCTTTGAAGAAGAACCCCGCAACTGCATATCGTGGATAGTACTGCAAACCTATGGTCGCTAAAAGATTCCTGGGAAAGAAAAAAGTAAAAAGGAATCATGGAATATACTTCAAGTAAGGACCTGTCAGCCTTTCTGGACGAGTTTTCCGGACCTGCTCGTTTTATGCCAGCAAAGCGATATCCTGCCGCCTCTGGCTCACTGATCGCCCTCGCGTCATTCAGTGCTGATACTATATAAGGAAAGTGAGGGAAAAAACGAAAAACACGGGGTAAAAACTGAATTAGGAACAGAAGTTGTCCTTCAGTTTCGGTGGGTGGCACAACTAGGGAGGCATCAGAAAGGCCACTTATGAGGGCCGTAGCGCCTTTATCACCCACTGAGAAGCCGCGAAACTGGGATTATCTCAGCAAGCTACTTGTACAAGGAAAGACACCTTCAAATCACATGAGGGCAGAGCCTGTCTTTGACCTGATGTTTTTTCAGTTACTCGATGGCCAAAGAGCCTACTTCAAAACTGGTGCTACCAAATGTCTGAAAGCACGACGGAAGACGTTGCAGACAATGAAGAAATTGTTGGAAGAAAACCGCGAGCAGCTCGAAGCAGCAATTCATAAGGATCTTGGAAGAGTGAGTTGTACTCGTCAGACCTCGCGCGATGTAAACTCTTCTCGTATGAGAAACGGTATCTGCCCACACGCAGCTATAGGTTAACCTGAGCAGAAGTCTGGGGAAGGTAGGGGGGAAAGGGGCGTAGCTCTTCACTGGCGCATGACAAATCTATACCAACGTTACAGTTCGTATCCACGTCCCTAGGAGCATTCAAAGTACAACTTCAACTGCAATGTCGTCATCACATTTACATTATGCAGCGATCAGACTTGGCGAAGGCAGCGTTTTGGTCGCGCGTTCAACGCGATCAATGCGCATGCTTTCAACTGCATCGATGTTCCGAACGCGCGACCGAAATGCTTCCGTCGCGAAGTCTGAACGCTGCCTCGTACTCGCCTGCACTCACTCTACGCTCATAATCACTCTAATAGCTAGGGCCGGGTTGTGATAAGCGGCGCGTTCGCCACTCACGGATGGTGGGTTCAAGTCCCGGGTCGACTTCCGCCCAGGTCAACCGAGCCTTCTACCCTCCGGCGACGGTGAATGGGTACCAAGTTGGTTTTGAAGGATAAGAACACTGGTCTCCGTATCGGCTGGCCCCGCAAGCCCTTGTATGGGCCACATCGCTTTCAATAATCCACCACGATTCTGGATGGAAGAAGAACGCGTTTCGCATCCCAAAATGGGGAGACTTGCTCTCCTTCTCACCGAGATGGAGTGGGTGTGCTGAGTGCATGCTATGTGACTGTGGCGAGGGTGCTTTGCACTGGTGTAACGTTTTCATTTTTGAGCGCGTTTTCTTTTCTAGCGTAAGGCATTGTTACAGCTGTATACTCCGCAAAAAACGCATCCTGCGCCATTCTCAATTGGATGGCACAGCCACGCCTTTCTCATATTCTGGATACGGAGGGTATGCATGCGAACGTGTAGTTGTCAACTTCTCAATGCCCTCCTGTACCAGAACCATATTGAGCAACGTTCTCCAGTCAGCGCGCAGCCTATCCATGCTTTTACCTCTCCTTTCTAGATTAGAGCCTTTGTAACAAAGATCACCACTTTGCTTCAGGACCCATCATTCGAGGTCACATGGGCTATGAAAGAGATTGACGAAAAACTGGAACATCTCGATGAATGGAGCGCACCGACAATAGTCGCTAAGCCACCGCAACTGGATGCTTGATAAAGATGAAGTGATGTTGGTAAAGGAACCATTTGGAATGGTGCTGGTGATTGCGCCATGGAATTTCCCACTACTTACATCGATGCCAGCGATTGCTGCTCTCACAGCAGGTGATCACTTTCAATCGAAATTGACGGAAATCGTCCTCACCGTTGATGGATATGATATTCTTGTTCAGGGGGTCGAACTAGCCTAAGAGACATGTTTTCAGCGAATTTGATGACCCAGGACATTTTGGCGCCGGCGCCCGTGGCGCGGGCGCCAGGCAGTTTCGTGGCAAGCGATTGTGATATTCGTGTTCACGGGGTCAAGCTGCCCCAGGAGACAAGTTTTCAGCGAATTTGGTGATTTATGGTATTTTGGCGCCGGCGCCTGTGGCGCGGGCGCCAGGCAGTTCGTGCCAAGCGACTGTGGTATTCGTTTCAGAGGGACAAGCTACCCCTAGGGATACGTTTCCAGCGAACTTGGCTGTTCGTACATCTTTATTATTAGAACAATATAGTGGCAGACACCATTGTCTGCCATCGTCCCACGAGACAGACTGGCTGTCAGCCACCATTGTCTGCCATCGTCGTCAACGTGTTAAGAGCTAAATAGTTCGCATAGATTTTGCAATTTTGGTAGTTCTGAAGAGCCTTTGGGAATCTGTCATTTCCACAGCACTCTATACAGCTCTTGTTCGCTGTGGACGCCTGGGAGGGGTGAGGGGGTGGGTTTGGCGCTTCGCCAGCCTGTTCTCCACCGTTTGGTGGAGGTGGCAGGCGGCGATAGTTCTTGGAGAATAGAACTACCCCTCCCCCTGGAAAAGCCTCAGCTTTCGCAGGGAACGAGACGGTAACCGATGAATAGAGCAATATAGAACAGCCATAGGTTGCCCATATGTAGTGTAGCGTTCAGGGGTTCAACCATATGCCTTGACGAAAAACAGTTGCTTTTCGCTATCGGATACGTATAAGGGTCTCGGACAAATATCCTGCACTGTCCAGTTTCTTTGCTTCTTTGCTAAATTAACAGTGGGGGACATAAGCATGGCGTATTCTGGGGGCTTACGAAACGTTTAATTGGCGCTTTTCGTGCTCAATTATACGTGTGATGTGACTTTCATTCCAGGGAATACCGTCGTCCTGAAGGTGTCCGAATACGCTCCCACATTTTCTTCCGTATTTGCCGGACTTGTAAGCGAGTATTTTGATAAGGTTAGTTTTCATTTCACTCCTGGATACGCGTTAGGTAGCTGTGGCAATTGGAGACAAAAAAAAACGACTTAACATCGGTTGAACATTTCAGGGGCTCTTTGCCGTTGTAGAAGGTGCTATACCGGAGGCAACAGCTCTACTTGCCGAACGATTCGATCACATCATGTATACTGGAAATCCCACAGTGGCAAGGGTGATTATGGCGGCAGCAGCTAAGAACCTCACCCCGGTAACCCTGGAACTCGGTGGAAAGAAGTGAGTCGGATTCATCGTTGACCTATTTGAGCGGCTAGAACTAAATGGGTGAAGGCGAGGAACGTTGCCTCCTAGTCGGCATCGGGCGTACTAACCGGATTATTCCCAGCTAGTTGACTTGACAGACACAGGCACAGAGAGGGGTAGTCAACCTATGTGACGTAGACGCTGACAGAGTCGACGCGCAGCAACACTGCCACGTTGAAGGGATTGGGTCCTGGTGCGAATGCAGTGTACGTCACCGTGCTTGCAGCTCCTATTCTGCCTATTTCTGTATTCTCGCTGCAACTCAGAAGTAACACTTTACACCCTTCTGAGAAAGAACCTGAAAGCCAGGCGTATCAGTCCTACTCTTTTTAGGAATTTATCGTGTCAACTGCCTTTAGGGAGGGTTTTATCGGTGATAGACGTCAAGCAATCTGTTTTTTGTCCTTTAATGAACACGTCTTCTAGCCCCGTGGTGGTCGAACCCGATGCCGACATTGAGGACGCGGCTAGGAAAATAATCGTTTCGAAGATGTTGAACTGTGGACAGATTTGTGTATCATCGGATTATGTGAGTGCTTTCTTAACACTGGTTTACGGATTTCTCAGGATTTACGCGCCGAAATAGTTACCCATGCAGGGCACATCGTCGTTGGGGATTCCAACGGGAGGAGGTCGTATTTGGGCCGAGAAAAGTTTGTTTGACAGTTGATTTTTCTTGCAATGACGTTGTGAAAGGGGACGGGAAGGGCAATAAATTATTAGCGAGTGCAATAAATCGAGAGCCATTAGTCTATACTTTACACCTTCCGAAGGAATACCAATCAGCTCACACTACGACCCTCTCTTCATTATCTACCTACCATGTTGCCAGTTTTCTCAAAATTCTGCCGTTGAGCGGGGTGAGGAGGAGGTGGTGCGGGTGGACGTGGACGCCTTCGTTCACCTAGAGTCTTGTTCGCAGCGGATGCTTCTACGATTGGTGGAGATTGGGTTGGCGCGCTGCGGGAACCAATCCCTCTGGAAATCCTTAGATTGGTTTTGGCGCGCTGCCAACCCATTCTCCAGAAATCGTAGAAGCTATGAAGCGTCCACAATTATTGGAGAACGGGTTAGCGCCGCGCTTAACCCACAAACCCCTGAAAAGTCCCTGCAGCAACGGTGAACGACTCTGTAAGGAGAAATAGCTTGCTTTGCCTCAACTACAGTGGAGCAGGGCACATAATTAGTTGGCGATTTTATTCAAGTCCGAACAACCCCTCCTCCTCCCCCCGCCCACCCCCTGTCTCACCAGGCTCCCTCTGATACGATCGAGCTGCGAGCGCGGGGGGGGGGGGTCAACGAAAGTCAACAACCGGGAAAATTTCTCCCAGCGCCGCAAACATCCCTACATCCGGAGGCAGAACGGACCCCCCTCTTCAAGCAACGAGCAAATACTAGCCCCACCCTTATCGTTAGAGCGTCGGTGAAACAAGGAAGATTGAGTGTCAAAAAAGGCTTCTTGAACCCAATCGACCAAGCGACCCCCCCCCCACAGCGACCTCTCATTGGCGAATTCTCAACGATGATATGCCCTGATGGGGAGGAAGGAGTATAGAGCGCTGTGAACGGGAAAACCAATCCTTCACCCCAAGCGACTGAATGCGACCTCTGTGCTGTGAGTTCCGCGAAGGACGATGTGTCCTGACCACAGAGGGGCCTATGAATCGATATTATCGATTTTTTATTTACTTTGCGTCCATTTCAGGTACTCACGACGGAAGAGGTGAAGCCAAAACTCGTGGCTGCTCTCGCGAAGTTATTCGAAGAGAAGGCTCCATTCAAAGAGAACAAAGAATTCTCTCGCATTGTGAACGAGAAACACTTCGAGTGAGTAATGAACTCCTAGGAAAGCTAATTGGCAAATCTGTACTAAGACGGCGCTATTCGGTTCAGGAGGGGAGGAGGCATTCACGCTAGTTCCTTGTGTTCATGTTAACAAACAGTTCTCACTTTGGTCAGCGCTGTAAACTCCCGTGAAGCTACCAAATTATCCGAGTGAAGTACATCGGTCACAGGATTTTACAAGTCTTCACGATGTGACCTGTACATGAGCACCATCTGTTGCCCCCACCAAACCGAACTAGATCATGGCCTCCACGTTCCCTAAAAACTGATCCCTATTTTGCGTTGCATTCCTAATTACAAAATTTTTCAGCCGACTATCGGACTTGCTCAAGAACACCAAAGGTCAAATACTCTACAAGACCAAGGAAGAACCCAGTAGGTCCGAAAAGTTCTTGGCACCGTGCGTGATCGACGTCAAGAATGATGATGTCTTTATGCAGGAGGAGGTTCGTGTCATCTCATATCAAGATTTGGCCAGCCAAGAAATAAATGATTTCAGATCTTCGGGCCTATTCTACCAATTGTGACAGTGAAGTCGTTTGATGAATCAGTCGCATGGGTTAGAGATCATGAGAAACCACTTGGTGCCTACATCTTCACAAAAGATCCAGAAAAGGTAGAATTCTGACTTAAGCTTAATCTTTTTGACTCACCAAGAGAATAGGTACCTGCATTGATGGCGGTGTGCGGTCGCGTCGCGTGTTGAAGAAGTGTTGTTGTTAGGCCATACTTCGCCGCAGGAGCGAATCTGGGCGACTGCTACAGACAGTGCTCTGATGCTAATCACTGGGCTGCTGCAATTGATGGTTTAACTGTTTCTAAATGTGGTTGAACAAGTCGGCGCGGTGGTCCAAAAATCAGCGGTGACGTTCCTCTTTTACAGTCGCGCGATTGAGTCGCTCGACTCGTGAAGTATGAAGTCCGCAGTCTTGCGCTGCACTGAGCACTCAAATTCATGAGATGTTTTTTCTTGACTATTCAAATTCAATCAATTTTTCCCCGACAACTCAATATGATCATAGCCGCCAACCACTTTCCAATCATCATGTAACACGCGACGTTACCGCGCGTGATGAGCTATGTCACGCCTATTCTATTCTTGCGATACGAAACCGGTAAACAAATATGTAATCAGTAAAATTATCATTCAGGCAAGACGCTTCATAGTGGAGACTTCCAGTGGCGGTGTAACAGTGAACGATGTCATGTCTCACTCGTTTGGTAAGTTTTCAGTTAAATAACTGCGACCTGCCTATGAAGATTAGGCTCTTCCCATACGGTAGCTCCTCCGCCCCCCTACATCGGCGCAAAACACGCAAGGTTAAAGAGAATCTGCCATGGGTAAACGATTCGGGGGGCCTATCTCGCGAGCCTAGGGGGGCGCAGGACCGAGCCGCTCAGTGCACGTCCTGCCTTTGGAACTTTGTAAAACACCTGGTGCGATCCCCTCCCCCTCCCCGCTCATTCATTTTATCTACAATCTCCAGCTCTCCCGAGTTCGTACCAGTTTTCTGCTGTTTTTTTTCTCAAGATTTCCCCAGTCCTTCCCCAAAAACCACTCCGCGGAAGGCCCTCAACTAAGAAATGCGAGTGTCCTTCTCACAGTTGGTGAAGTGGTAGCTGGGATTCCTGAATAACTAACTATAAGCTGCTCTGGTTAGTGCTTGTCGCTAAAACTGCTCAGCAATTTTTGCGGGAGCAAGAAGTGTGAACGTGAGCAGATGCATAGAAAATTGGGTCTGAAAATTGGAAGCGAATCTTAGGGCGTTGGGAATGCCGCCACCGTTCGGCTTGGGAGGGGTATTCTGTGCTAGTTGATATTAATAACAGGTCTCGCTTTGGTGAAGCCTGTGAACTCTTGTAAAGCTGCGGAATGGTACAAGTGAACCATTTTGTCATCCATCGGAAACTCACAGATCTTTGCGAGGTGGCCTGTACAAAATTCGTTGAGCAGCATGTGTGTCCCCAAGCCATATTGCGTCATAAAGCCGTTGTTCCTGGTCGTTGAAAGACGCACTTGCAGGCGTTTTGCCATCTCGTTATTCAATTTTTGGTTTGATTTTTACGGTTTTATTGCTAGTATTATTCAGTGGATACATTACCGTTTGGTGGTGTTGGCAACAGCGGTATTGGCAGAATCTTTGGCAAGTATGGATTCGACAACTTCACCCACGAAAAGCCTGTTCTTATTAGGAACGGTATCGGAAAGGATGTCATCAAAAAATTGTAATTTTCAACGTTTTACCGTATCTCATAATCGTATTTTCATAGTGTAAGAACTTGTACAATAAATACTGCTCTCAAAAGTTTGAAGTTTCAAAATGGTCATGCTCGCTTCACAAAGCAGCTTAAAGACAATTCCCGCGATCAAGTGTTGCGGGTAGTTGGTGCTCCGTTATGAACCAGCATCCCATAAGTAGCTCCTCAGTAGAAAAAGAAGGGAAAAAACTCTCGGAAACACCCTAAACACAGACCTCCCCTCAGCAGTCTTGGACGCCTGTGTCGGGGGGGGGGGGTGAAGGAGCGATTGGAGCGCAAAGCTTGAACCGTGGTACCGTGACGTGAGCACCAGGCAATCCCTGGCCAAGCAATGCGATATTCTTGTTCGAAGGTTGCGCACGACACGTGCCGCGCGGGTGTTGTAGGGATAGAAGCTGCTCGCGAGCCGTTGTCTCGTCCAGCTACAGTATGATGTCGCCACTGTTGCCACGCGCAAATGTCTCTAACTTCTTTATCGCGCCGTTTTGAGGGACGAAAGTGGTATGTTCTTTGTGAACGCGTATAACAGTTCAAAAGGCACGGAGTCATTTTGAGGACCACTTGATCGCGGGGAGTGTCTTTAATATGCTTTCAAGCAACTTCTGAACTTCTGCTTGGAAGTCGCATGCATGGCGCATCAGCGATATTCGTAGACTCCGCTATTCATTTTCATAAAAATCGCTCGCACAACAAAAGGCCAGCCAATGAACAGTCTTTTTTCGCTACGGATGGTGGAGCGGTGTCGGGGGGGGGGAGCAGGTTTGGCGTGGCACCCCAGTCAGTGGCACCAATGGTTGGAGCGGGCAAGGTGACAAGACATCGTTCCTTTTCCTTAAGCATGAGGGAATGTAAAGGCGACGTAGTGACAAATGGCACCCCCATCACATGGTCCAGTAAGGACAAGGAGTTCACGTTTAGTACAGTCCAGTCCACAAGACTTTTCAGACGCTGTTCAGCCTGGTGGAGACACCACATGGTACTTTCTCCCGCCAGCTTCAGACGATGGCGCATTGTATGAAATATCATCCCCCCTAATCCTTCACGGCCCACCTAATCTCTTGGTACTCTGGGAGGAAAGACAAAACTGATAAGATAACAGCGACTTTTCGCAACTTTTCGTGAACTATGCCATCATTACACTTCAATCCCGTCTGTGTAGAAGAGAATCTGGGTTTCCAAGTCCTGTAAAACCCCTACGATTCCCATGAAGATCTTTGCTGTTCCTTTTAGGACACGCTGACCCATCTCCTCGCCCTTAACACGGGAGGTGTAATAGTTAGCTACATGATGAAGCGACTAAATGATTCATTTGCCCTCCAGCTGGATGCCTATCTCCGTTTTTGTAAAATCCACGCTTCTTATAAGGTACTGCTGACCCTTATGAGGACTCTTATGAGAAGGGCATAACTCTATACCAACAATGTTCTTCCCAGTTTTGCAGAGCGTGTGTGCACGGGAGTCCTTTCGATGCCTCCTGCCACTTTCACCCTCCTGACCCCCCCCCCCCTGCAAGATTAGGAAGTCCCCTCCGGCTTTCCATTTGCATTTTTTCGCCCCTCTGGATTTCACAACGATGCCAGGGATTTGTCAATGCAAATGATTGTTCAAGGTCAATACGAACGATCTGATAGTGTTTGTGCAGTGAATTGCAAGCTCAGGCTTCGCGATTCGGAGAATGCACACTTTTATCATTTTGCTCAAGTTTTCTGTCAGAGATGAATTTCACCCTTCCTTTTGATTTCAAGAAGTCATGCCGATTTTTGTAGCTCTCACTGTGGCGTTTGTTCCCTTCTAGCTCCCCATTTCAATTCAAAGCTCTCCACCTAACGGAACAGGGGTGGGTGTCAGTAGATTTTCTGCATTTAATTGGTTTCGATCGAATGCAATCTAATTTTATTCGAGACATTTGATAACTTTAAAGGCATATGGCACGATAACGTGGTACCCGGTCGAAAATGCTAGCAGCGCCGTGCACTTTGTAATCGAAACAAGAATGGCGAAAAAAAGCGAATTAAAAAGCGGTCAAAATATGTGAAAAAAGATCCTTTTTTTCTTCAAAGACTGACGGCGCAGACAATTTCGGGCGTCTCCTCAATGGTCTGACTCCGCCCACATCGGTGAAGGCCCCCACCACAATGTTTGTCCCACATTTTCCAACAACCCATCGCGCTGAAGTTCAGCCCTTTCACCTTTTCCGGTCTCTTCAGTACCTAGAACCACACACAGATTTCCTCGTCTGCGCTCCGCCACACATCCCACAAGTTTCAGGCTCGCTGCCAATAACGCTACGGTATGCTGCACCTCAGCGCGCCTTTATTATCATGTCCCTTCGCCTTCATATTGTAGTTTACAAATAAAGCGCAACTATAAGGCCTTATAACGCGTGCCGCTCCCAGGGGAAGGCGCTACTCAGCGGAATGCTTATGAAAAACTAGGCCAACAGCAGGAGCTTTGAAGTTTGTTCTTAAAAGGAGTCTACAGGCCTCACCAAGATGTGACGTGTTACTCGACAGGAACTAGCAAAAGAAACTAGAAAAAGTGCAATATGCCCCTCTCATGCCAGACAGCGTCGGGCCATTAACCTCTCTTTGCAATCCTCATTTTTAGTGAGCACTCTACCTGTCGGCGGTATCGGCAGCAGCGGTATGGGACGCCTGAAGAACGGGTTTGACGGGAACTACGGGTTTGACAATTTTTTCCAGGAAAAGCCTGATCTCGTGAGAAAAGGCCTCGGGAAAGAAGTCTTTCCTAGACTGTGAATCCAGCTATTTCATCGGATATCAAAAAATTTGTACTCGTTCGTTGTCCTATACGCATTCCACGATGATCGCAGAGGTGGAGTCCGACCTCCTCATAGTGCCTTTATCCTTTGTGCGCAGTTTCCGAGGTGAAGGGGAGGTTTCGTCGGGGAGGAAGGCACAATGGTAGATCTCGCCCAGAGAGCGTGGACTGCAGACTTTGTTCGTTTCTCCTTATTCTGATAAACGTTCAAGCGGTTGTTTCACGCACTACATACTCATTTGTGGAGCAGTTCACGGGGGTGCGGGGTAGAGAGCAATGAAGACGATGAGCAGCGGCCCCCACAAATAACTTTATGAGTAGAAACCACATTCACAACCACAAGCTGAAGTGAAATGCGTGGCGCATTCCAGAGAGACCACGAAGAACTTCAGCCTCTACCACTTTTTTTCATGGGAAGGGGTGCAGTACCTTCACATCTACACTAACAACCCTTTGAAATGATTGCATTCCGTACAAGAATCCTTGCACCCCTCAGAACGAATTGCTAAGTGAACCAGCAGTAACCCATTTTGCCCCGGGTACGGTCTAGCCACAAAAGGTATGGAGCGATGATATCTATGTGCCAGGAAATCCTTTGTTCTGTCAGCCTTTGTCAAAGGCGCATTTCATGGAATATAATCACTCTTAATCTTTTGTGACCATTCTCACTCCTGAGTGCCCTGGAATGGTCCAAAAGGAATGACAAAACTGATAAGATAACAGCAACCTTTCGCAACTTTCCAATCTACGTCACCAACACTTCTCTATTCTTCTTTGTGAGGAAATTTTGATGTGATTTCCTAAAGTCCTGAAATCCTTCGAGAACCCATGGTAATCATTGGTGTTCCCCTTTGGAGCACGCTGATGGGCTTTACTGCCGTTAGCCTGTGAAAAGTCCACTTGCAGTCATCAGCTACATGATATAGCAACCAGAAGATTCATTTGTTCTTCGGCCAACTGATAAACTCCGCCTTCTTAGCATCTCTTTATAAGGTGTTGCTGAAAGCCTTTCCAAGCTTGTTCCATACTTCACTCGAATATGGCTTACGTTTCGGCTTTTCCGCCTTCTTTACAGCCTGGCCGTGAGGCGAAG